GCGCCAAAGACTACCAGCGACTCCAAAATCAACACCACACTTTCCATGTGGCTACCAGGGTTCTCAACGCACCTGCCTAAGAGGGCCAGGTGGCTGATGTAAGTCAGCAGAGCAGGCCAAGGGGAAAAGCAAGAGGGAGTAGTTGGAACGATGCCGAACTGTGACACGCTCAGCCAAGGAAAGTGAAGTGTGTGGACATTTTATTGAACACACACCTAACCAGCAGGCCCGCGGGTTTGAGATCTCTTGCACAGCATCGCCACTCCTTCCTGGAAACTGGGCAATGCTGAGGACTTTGGAGTCTGGAAGGTTCTGGTCAGTCCACAAAGCAAGAGAAGTCAAAAGTTGCTACTTCTTGTTAGCAGTGACTTGCAAAGCAGCTTAGGTTCAAGTGACCCCTGCAGTGCACAGGTCAGGGCGAGGTATCGCTGAGCTAAACGTAATCTGCTCACTGGGAGAACAAGGCAGCTCATATTTCAGCAAAACATGGATATATTTCACAATCCTAAGAGAGAATGCAGCAGCAAATGGGGGCGGGGGCAGGGGAAACCCAAACTGGGTTTTCTGCTGAAAATCCAGTTGGGAATTTCTGCTGTGACCTACATTACTCTGCCGCTTTCCAGCCCCCTAACTTTCTCTCTCCTCAAGGAGGAGCAGCAGAACATAACGTATTTCCCAAAGTCAAATTACTCTGCAGAGAACCATCTTAATAATGTGCTAAATGACAGCACAGCAAATCACTGAAGCTGTCACCGATTTGCGGTCCAGTTTCCCTGAGCGAATTCTCGGAGTCTGAGCCTCCCTCCACGAACGAACGGCACCTCACATCTCCCTGGGTATCTCCGCCATCTGCAAAGTGTCACGTCTCTCAGTAAGCACCCTTTCCCCAAATGTCAGACGACGAACACAGCACGGGGTTTCCAAAAGATGTGGGCGTTGGGAGGCTGGCACTCACTCATCTGTTCCTTGTGTTGGGGAGTAGACTCTGGTCCCCCTCTGGGCCACACTGATATACAGAGTTCAAAATAGAAAAGAAATGCCCCACTTCCCACCGGCCTACTTTCCAATTCAGAGCTGGCATTAACAAGGGAGGCAACGGGAGGCAGAGGGACTGGGAGGAAAAACTCAACCTCCCCATTCTTCAACTCAGATTTGTGCAGATGGCAGATTACTTAGAAGTCATGATGCCTCTTACGGAACACAGTGAAATATGGACACATAAAATGGAATTAAAAAATGGAAGAGTATGTGTGAAAGCAGGTCCCATCTAATACCGGACTGAAACTTTTAAGTAGTATTTGTGAGGAAAAACACAAGCAATTTCTACCCACTGGCTTTTATCTTTCCTGCCCACCTTCTCAGTTCCCAAACTGGAATGGGACCACCATTCCTGAAGCCGACCAGTGGCCCTGTTCATAGAACACACAGGGGCACAGTGTGCAAACCAAAAGCATCATGAGTAACGTGGAGTGTCCGCAGATTCAAATGGAGGGGCCGTGGGAGCAGTGGGGAAGAGCCAGGACTGCAAACTCCAGAGCCGTCATGCCGGTAAGTGGTCCACCCAAATATATGACATAGCCAGGCAAACAGCATGGCAGGGGAGGCTGGCTCAGTGCCCGGGAGACAACAGGAGTTGGGGGTTCAGTGGACACGGGGCACCCAAGTGTGGGAGAGTGGGTGAATGGGGCTGTGACCAATTCTTCTGATTTTTCAAGAGAAGCTAGGCTGGGTGTGGTGGCTCACACCTGTAATTGCAGCACTTTGGGAGGCTGAGGTGGGTGGATCACCTGAGGTCAGGAGTTCGAGACCAGCCTGGCCAACGTGGCGAAACCCCATCTCTACTTAAAAAATATATATACGAAAATTAGCTGAGCATGGTGGCACGTGCCTGTAATCCCAGTTACTTAGAGGCTGAGGCAGGAGAATCGCCTGAACCCAGGAGGTAGAGGTTGCAGTGAGCCAAGATTATGCCACTGCACTCCAGCCTGGGCAACAGAGTGAGAACTTGTCTCAAAAAAAAAAGACGCTTGACTTCTGGATTTTTTTATCTGACACCTAATTTTTTGATGTTGGCAAGTACTTGAATTAAGAAAAATAAATAACAAAACAAAACCCCACTATACTGGCTAAATAAAATAAGTTGGAGAATCAGGCTCAGTCCGCAGGCTGCAGGCTTCCCACCTACATCCCAAAAACATGGGCTATGGTGCCAAATACCCTAGGATCCCATTGTGCTGGGTGGGGACCCTGGGACCAGCCAGGTCACCCCTTTGAGCCTCACTTTCCTCATCACTATGGAATAGATTTCACTGGCTCTCCAGAAGACGAGATGAGATGGGTGCTGTGAAACGCGAGGCTGGCATCCACAGGAAAATGGGGGGCCCTCCCTTTAGTGAACAATCCAGTTACGTTCAGTAACTCAAATGGACTTTCCAGATCCTAAATCAACATTTGAAAGAACCAAGGAGAAAATCTGTCAAGATTTATAAGAATAAGAATGCTTTGGGGTTTATTTCCTTAGCCAGGAGATTTCTGTTTTGTTTTTTTTAACCAGGAATCTCTCAGGCTCGGCTTTCCAGCCGAGACAGCAGTCTCGCTGCTTCCTGTGGGCAGCACATGGAGAAAGGACACGATCACGTGGAGATTCGTCAGCACGGGCAAGGCTTGGCTGTGCCTCATCCATCATTGCCCCAAAATGAAACAATCCGTACATTCCGACCTGTAATCCCAATCTGCTCAAAAAAGAAGAAGAAGAAGGGAGCAGTGTGATTTGGAAAAGGGAGGAACGCCAAAGAGCTTTTATTAAAAGAGCTGTTTAATTTCAACTGGGGTCTAGACCAACATGTAGTGAAAATTCCAGCATCGACACTGTGTCTTTTGCCACAGTCTCCCACTGAAATTCTTGTTCTGTAAAGTCCATACATTGAACCTTGTGTTCTGTGAGGTTTCTCTCTCAGCGCTGACTGATGGCAACCAGCGTGGCTAAGATTCACATCACGCCGAGAAGCTCTCATTAACGTGCTGTTTTTACAATTTGGCACACGAATGTTTGGGAAACACTGGACTGGAGAGGCCTGGGCTGTGGAGCCCTGTGGGGGGTGGGGGACACTGACTTGCAGATGGGGCAGTGTCTCCTGCTCACACTGTCAACATCAGGAGCATCTTAGGAACAACTTGCTAACTCAGTTTTCACCGGGGAATTCAGCCGATGTGCAATGACTCCGAGACACACCCCAGGCTGCCTGTAAGCGGATGCCTCTAAGAGAATGAGAACTCCTCACGTGAACTATCGCGGCCATTTCCAAATACTGAGATCAAGGCCCTGGCATCACAAATAAAAGGAGAAAAGGAAAATAAAGCGTTCTAGATACTGTCTTCTATTCAGGATAAAAAGGCACCTCTTATCAAAGGCAGCACGACACTATGATGTTTTCTCACAAAAACCCTGGAACAATGAGAAAATCTAAGCAACCATCTTGGAGACAATCTCAAAGGGCCTAGACAGGGAAGACGGGCAGCTGCCCATGTCTATCTGGATGGTACTGCCGGGCACACCCCACAGACAGGAGCACACCCTACAGAAGCCGGCTCCCAAAGGTGCACCCCACAGAGAGGAGCAGAAATCCACCTTCTGTTTTGAACCCAGCATCACCATCAGAACAACTGTTAAAGAGCTACAGTGACAGGAAACTCTTATTTTACCCCAGCAAATCATACAGATCACACCGACCCAGAACAGTGCTTCTCGAATGAGTCCCGATCCCACAGGTCTTCTCTACGGACTTTCACGTTTCATGTTTCTATTACGATAAGATTTTAGAAATAATAGAATTACATTCTGTAGCATCTGAAGACTATAAAAACCAAGTCGGGCTTGATGATCTTGGTTCCCCTAATTCCAAGGATGTAAATGTCAGAGGTCTCAGGTTATGACAACAGAGTGGACCAATCAGTGGTAAGGCAGTGACATCAAAAGGACGGCCCAATGTTTCCTGGCAATGGGACCAGAGCAAAGGGGTGGATGAGGTCAGCATGCCTGGCATGTGGCAGGTGAAAAGAAGTCACTGCATGACATTTCGAGCCAAGATTAGCTTTCTTGAAAACAGTAGCATCCATTGGGTTAATTGACAATTTTGAAGTGTAACGATTTTTTTTTTTTTTTTGAGACGGAGTCTTGCTCTGTCGCCCAGGCTGGAGTGCAGCGGCGCGATCTCAGCTCACCGCAACCTCTGCCTCCTGGGTTCAAGCGATTGTCCTGCTTCAGCCTCCCAAGTAGCTGGGACTACAGGTGCCCGCCACCATGCCCAGCTAATTTTTGCATGCCTGGCTAATTTTTGTATGTTTAGTAGATATGGGATTTCACCATGTTGGCTAAGCTGGTCTCGAACTCCCGACCTCATTGATCCACCCACCTCGGCCTCCCAAAGTGCTGGGATTACAGATGTGGGCCACCGTGCCCAGCCTGAAGCATAATGATTTTCTAAGTGCATAATATGTAAACTCTCTTAATTTTTTTTTCTTTTTCAAGAGAAGGTATTTAAATAATATTAATGTTCATTTTTAAGTAATACTCATATAAAAATAATTTAAGTTAATATGGTACGAGTCTGGGAGAACTTTTCCTTGGGTTCATCACCCAAGCTTGAGAAACACTGACACAATTTGTTTCAGTTTTGGAGCACCCAGTGGGCTGTATAGAAAATGAATCTTTCCTTGATTTAAATGTGTCAAAGTATAAAATCACAGAGCCCTGAGTTTATTTGTGAGCCTGAAGTCAACAATGCTCATTTGCAGGCCTGCTCTCTTCCTATCCTTTAGAAGCTCCAAAGCACTGAGGCCCGGCCTCCATCGCGGCACCTGGAACAGGCCCTGGAGGTCGCCTGGGTCCCGTGGCGATCAGGGCATCACGGAGAGCCGCTTTCCTCCCCAACCTTTATAAAACGACCAAGAACGAAGTGCTGGCAGGGCTGGCGGCGCGTGCCCATGGGAGCGGTACTTACACGAAGAAGGGCATCAGCTGGATGAGGGTCTCCTTCTTGGGGCTGGCGGCGAACTCGGGGACCATCTGGATGACTTTGTTCATGACACTGCGCAGGTAATTCTGGAGCTGCTTTCTTCGTTCCTCCACAAACTTGGCATCCTGAGGAAACACAAAACATCTTCGCTCAGGTATGTGTTCCTCACCTGGTCAGAAACGACCCCATAGAACAGGCGATCACCCATCAGCGCCATCCCGGCAGCCAACACTGATTGAGCAACCGCCTTGTGTGACTGGTCCCTAAGCCCTTACACGTATCATCACATGCAATAACAAGAAAGATGCCCACGATATTATTATTAAGTGGAGGAAAAGCGGGTCCAAGACCTACATCTGGTGTGTTCCTATTCAAATGGGACGGTTATTTATGGGGCACCAAAACGTGCCGAATGTGGTGCTGGGGTCAGGGGTAGAACAATGAACGCGCTGCTGTGGCCTTCGTGGAGTTCACGGGCCAGCGAGGGAGACACAAATCAATCCAGCGACCACACAGGTCAGCGGGTAATTATCAGTCACACCAAATGCCACTCCACAGCACGGGCTTAATGTTGCCTTCAGAGGACTTTCTCGAAATACAAATCAACCGCCACTGATTAAGAAAGAGATTTTATTAATAAACAATTTCTGTGTTCTCTTGAAAAACTACGATGCGTGGGTCACAATGCCGAGTCGGGCGAATCACCTGAGGTTGGGAGTTCGAGACCAGCCTAACTAACAAAGAGAAACCCCGTCTCTACTAAAAATACAAAATTAGCTGGGCATAGTGGCACATGCCTGTAATCGCAGCTACTCGGGAGGCTGACGTAGGAGAATCGCTTGAACCCACGAGGCAGAGGTTGCGGTGAGCCAAGATGGCGCCACTGCACTCCAGCCTGGGTAACAAGAGCGAAACTCCATCTCTCACACACACACACACAAAAACCCTAGGATACATGGTAGCATGGCCCCACCCATAGGTCCATACCAGCCTGGGCTGTGCAGCGTGGCCCCAGAAGGCAGGCACAGGTTCCCAGGTCTGAGCAGTTTCCACCACTCAGTGATCAGGGGCTCTGTGCTCCAGAACCCCCTCACTCATCCTGCAGCCCCCACCACACCCGTGTCTGCTTGGTGTTTGTGGGCAGGGCCAGCTTGCTTGGTGTGCAACCCCAGCTGTCGCAGAGGGTCCACACTGGTGAGCTGCTGCCCACCTTGACATTCTCATTAATTTGGCACCAGGGGCTCCACACTGTCACGTTGGCCTGGGCCCCACACATTCCATAGCCAGTCCTGCTTTGTGCATCTGTGCTAATAGCCCCTGGCTTGTAACAAAGACACGCTGGGCCGTGAGCGTCAGGGCCGGGAAAGGCTTTCTCTGAGACAATCATGCTCCTTCTGGACTGAAGACCAAGCAAGGTGAAGAAACAAAGAGCTGAGAGAAGGCAGTGGAGGAACGCGGTCTTTCCAACCTCACAGAACACAAGGACGAATGTTCTATGACGACTGCGTGAAACAGATGAGAAAACTGCAGTCTGCAGTGGGCCTTGGTACCTCACCCAGGAGGCCCATAGATCGCATGTGGCACTCGTCTCTTCTCTCCCTGTGCAGGCACAGAGCTGGCCCAAGGCAGGGGCTCAGTCACAATCTGTCAGCACCTCGAAAAATTGCCTAGCATCACGTGCCCTGGTCCCCGGTGAAGAGCTCCCACAGGCCAGGTGTGGTGGCTCACGCCTATAATCCCAGCACCTTAGGAGGTTGAGGCAAGAGGATCACTTGAGCCCAGGAGTTTAAGACCAGCCTGGGTAACATAACAAGGCCCAATCTCTACAAAACATTGAAAAAAGTAGCCGGGCGTGGTGGTGTGCACCTGTAGTCCCAGCTACGTGGGTGGCTGCAGCAGGAGGATTGCTTAAGTCCTAGAGGTAGGGTGTACAGTGAGCTATGATCACACTACTGCACTCCAACCTGGGAGACAGTTAGACCCTGACTGTATTAGTCCATTCTCACACTGCTATAAAGAACTACTTACTGGGTAATTTATAAAGAAAAGAGATTTAACTGGCTCATGGTTTCGCAGGCTGTACAGGAAACATGGTGGGGGAGGCCTCAGAAACTTACAACCATGGTGGAAGGCAAAGGGGACGCAGGCACGTCTTACGCGGCTGGAGCAGGAGGAAGAGAGGGAAGGGGGAGGTGCCACATACTTTTAAACAACCAGATCTCATGAGAACTCACTGTCATGAGAACAACAAGGAGGAAATCCACCCCCACGATCCAATCACCTCCCACCCAGCCCCACCTCCAACGCTGCGGATTACAATTTGACAGGAGATTTGGGCAGGAACACAAACCCAAACCGTATCACTGACTCTAGAAATCAAAACCAGAATAAAAAGAAGAGAAGGGTCCCTACAAAGCCCTGCCAAGGCCCCGAGCATGGCAAGAAGAGTCTTTCTTAAGCGGCGCCTCTGGGCCAGGGTTGGCAGATTTAGCAAATGAGAATACAGGGCACCCAGTGAAATTTGAACTTCAAATAAACAATGAATCATTTTTCCGCAAAAAGTATGTTCTATGCAAGGAAACCTTTCCATGCACTATTTGCGATACACTTATACCACAAAATTATTGGTTTATGTGAACTTCCAGTTTCACTGGGCATCCTTATATTTTCTCTGGCAAGCCTCTTGTGAGCACCAGGTGGGAGATGGAACCGTGGAGCATCTATGCCAGCAGGGGTCCCTCAGGGCCACTCCAAAGTCACAACAAAGTCTTCTCGTCCAAAGCCACTTCTGATGAGCGGCCTCAGTGGGGGACCTTTCTCCAGAGGGGTGGCAGCTCTCAAACACTGCTGAGAGCCACTCCAGTGTCACCATCAGACCAGCTGGTGGCCACAATCTCACAGCCTGGCAGGAGGTGGGCTATGTACGAATGAGAGAAGACATTTAGGCAAGGTTGTCCCAGGATCCTGCAACCCAAGCTGGGGCCTCTGCTCACCCAGTCTGAATGCTGGTTCTGCTCCTTGGAAGGCAAGTTTCAACCCGCCATTAAACAATGAGATGCTTTTCCTTGGAAGGTGGTTAAGATGCCAGGTTAACGCCCAATGGAGCTCATGAAGCCTAGTTTTTCATCTGCACAAGAAACCCTCGAGGCAGCTTGGGAGACTCTACCACAGGAAGACAAGAAAGGAGGTCATCAGCCCTGCAAAAACTTGTGAAGGTTTTTCTTTTTTTTTTTGGAAGGGAAATGCTCAAAACACTAAAGCAATGAGGAGCGATCAGAGATGGTCCTTCCTGCTGTATGTGGGGTGGTGCTACAGAGCCCAAGGAAGGTGACCTTCCCACTCCCGCAAAATGAAGGTCAGAGAATTCCATCCATGAAACTAATCTGCCTCTCTCACCCAGGTCTCAGAGGCCCCTGGAGGAATCCCAAGTCCCTTCCAAGTGCTCACTCCTCACAATAGCGGCTCCCTGGAAACCTAAGCCAGGTTCTGCTCTAAGAACATCCAATATGGCAGCAACTGGAATTTTTTAAAAATCTGATTTATTTCAATAATTTTTGGGGATACAGGTGATTTCTGGTTACATGAATGAGTTTTTTTGTTTTGTTTTTGTTTTTGTTTGAGACTGTGTCTCACTCTGTCGCCCATGGTGGAGGGCAGTGGCATAGTCTCGGCTCACCGCATCCTGCGCCTCCCAGGTTCAAGCAATCCTCCTACCTCAGCCTCCCAAGTAGCTGGGATTACAGGCACACGCATAGCCATGCCTGGTTAATTTTTGCATTTTTAGTAGTGACGACTGGTCTCGAACTCCTGACTTCAAGTGATCCGCCCACCTCAGCCTCCCAAAGTACTGGGATTACAGGCATAAGCTACTGCACCCGGCCTTGAACGAGTTCTTTAGTGAATTCTGAAACTCTAGTGCCCCCTTCACCTGAGCAGTGTACATTGTACTCAAATATGAGGTCATTTATCCCTCACCCCTTTCCCTACTTCCCCCACGCCTGAGTCCCCAAAGTCCACTATATCACTCTGTATGTATTTGCATGCCCGTAGCTTAGCTCCACTTATAAGTGAGAACACACGAGATTCGATTTTCCATTCCTGAGTTACTTCACTTAGAATCATGGCCTTTGGCCCCATCCAAGTTGCTGCAAAAGACATGATCTCGTTCCTTTTTACGGCTGATAGTATTCCACGGTGTACATACACCACATTTTCTTTATCCATTGACGTCTGTGACATCTTCACTTACACTCCGTTCTCAGAGCTTCCCCTGCCCTGTGTCGCTACAGCACATCCAAGGCTGGTCACTGAATTTCAGAAAGGTGAGGCACTTGCACAAAGGGTCAAGACTAGCAGGTGGCTGAGCAGGCCCTTCCATCAGGCAGCCTCCCCCAGTACAGAAGACAACTTTCAGCCTTCCAAAGAAAAACCCATGGGTTCCTCTACACCAAGCTTCCCCAAAGCGAGGTTCACTTCTTTGAGATTCTACTTCCAGGCTGGCTTTAGCAGAAGCCATTTGCCCTGTGAAAAGGAGGAAGCCTGACACCTGGGTGCAACGGCAGGCAGGGCTGCCTGACTCATCCTCCACCCCGGGCACTTTTCCCTCAGGTCTCACTCTGACCCTAGAGGTGCAGACACCTTGGCCTGAATTGCAGCACAGGACTCGGTAGAAGGTGACCTGAGAGGTGTGGAAGATCCAAGAATAATTCATGGAAGGCTATATTCTCGCCTGTGACTGTGTTTTGTTTTCTTACATTTATATTGTGAATGTTTTTTTTTTTTTTTTTGCAGGGGGGACAGGGTCTCGCTCTGTCACCCAGGCTGGAGTGCAGTGGTGCAATCCCTGGTTCAAGAGATTCTCCTGCCTCAGCCTCCCAAGTAGCTGCGACTACAGGTACGCTCCACCATACCTGGCTAATTTTTGTATTTTTAATAGAGACAGGTTTCGCCATGTCAGCCAGGCTAGTCTCGAACTCCTGACTTCAGGTGATCCACCTGCCTCAGCCTCCCAAAGTGCTGGGATTACAGGTGTGAGCCATCACGCCTCACTGAAAAAATTTAAATAAGGCAAAAAGCAGTGCAAATTTTAATGAATCCCCACAATACTTTGTCTGAAAAGTCTTAA